TGCTGGCTCATATTAAACCAAGAGCCCTGCAGGCAGCTTCCTCCACCATAGCTTGCTGTCAGAATAGACAAGGAGCTGTGCTGACAATGCTGAAGACACTCCAGGAGGTTGCTAAGAATAACATTTCAGGACAGGATTTGAAAGCAAGACTTTAAAGAAATTTTTAGCATGTACAAGGTTGTTTCCTTAATTCTCAGAGACTGATAGCACTGGTAACTTCTGTAAAACTTATAAAACTTTACATAAGGTGCACAAACATAAGCCTCCAGTTCCATCTGTTTGTGCATATGCGAGCGAGTCAGTTGATTTGCCAAAAAGCCCTATCCACTTGAAAATACAAGGGAACAAGGGGCATTACTTTTAAACTGAGAGGTGTTTGGGAAGAGGCCAACTGTTCCACACAGCTCTGAGTGCAAGTAATCCGCTGTGTTCAGCTTACAGCGAGATGCCAATAATTCATATCAGAGCAAGCCCTGATAAGACAAAAGAGCAGGCTGCAGCAATTGCTTTTAAAAGTAAGCAGACTTTTACTACAAGTACAGAAGGTCAAAAGCCTCAGGGACAAGGACGGCATTGTTCAATAAACCACGAGACACCGTGTCTTCAGTTTCACTTTGCTTAAATGTGTGACATCACCTTTGCTTTGGATGGAAACCTGAATGGTTCAGAACTGCAAGTTCCAAGATCAAAGAATAAGACAACCCCCACACCCAATTCATCTCAGTTTATGGGGACTTTTGAAGACAAAAGAGCCTCCACCTTTTTAGCAGCCTCCCTCCAAAAACAAGGTACCATGACAAACGATCTCATGCACTCTTACACCATCTGCTTTAGCAGCATCAGTACTACGTGAAGTTACAGGTTGATACATCAGATCCATCCAGGCAGAGATAAGCATTTCAGACTCTTGGGACTTTACTGACATTCATGTTACAAGATACTGAGAAATACAGCTTTAAGACTGACAGCTACGTATCAAACCAGGAAAATTGCTCTCACATTTACAGAACCCAATTACTATTCCATCTCCACAAATCAGTCCAATCACCGTGCCTATCTGTTTATCATGAAGTATCTAGCAAAGAAATGAATCTCTAACAGATAAGCAAAGTGAATTCCACTAAACACCCAAACCAAAAAAAAACTTTGAGCAGAACCTCTGGGGTTCTGCTGGGATGGGAAGAGGTAGGAAAAGAGCAGCCCTTACAGCAGGCAGGAAGAGCTGAAAATCCAGGGCTAATTTAGAGGAACCCTAAAATAACAGGCTAATTCTTACCTTATAGTCATTTTCCAAAACAACAGAAAATATGATTTCCAGTTGTCTTATCTCCTTTTTCAAAAATATATATATTTTTTTTTTAGTGAAATGTCCCAAATTCGTAAGACAAGAGCTTGTCAGAAGCAAAAATGACCATAATTCAGGAAACTGGTATCTGGGTCAAGAGACTATGCAGCTAAAAGCACCAAGCACTAATCTGCAAAAGCCTCTGAATACTGCAGGCATTCCAGGTACAGCCTACAGATTACAAAAGGAGCCACTAAAAGCATGTCTTGTTCTCCCCAGTGCACTCAGGCAAAGTGGCTTTTGTATCAGCCTGCGTGTATAAAACTGGAGGGGGGGGAGCAGATGGTGGTGACTGACTTAAAGCAAAATGTCCACTTTAACAAGCCATGCTACTAAAAATACCTTTTCACTGTAAAGTCTTTGTTGTAAGTAGTACACTGAGAAACAACTTTATGCCCATAAGAAGCCACTGCCACGCTCTTTTGTCCTGTGAAAAGATGTTGGTCTGGCTATTAATCAACTTATTTAGCACACATAACAGTTCTGTAAGCGCTCTCTAGGCTACATCAAAATTAGATATAAAGTTGCGAGATAAGCAGCAAAGCGAGTTTTAGACCATGTCCTGCAACATCTTGAAATTCCAGAGACTAGGGGTGCTCCTTTGTAGATGAAAGTGGTACCCCCAGACTCCCTGATCCCAGAGAGCTGACAGTCTGCTATCCACCTGGGATGAGAGCAGCACACAAGTTCCTGGCAGCTAACTTGGTGGGAAGAAACTGCAGCTCAGAGACAGGGGAATACTGAAGAACTTCCCTCTGTGGCCTTAAAATCATGTACCTTAATACTATAATTTAAAAAACAAAACAAAGCTTTCATGATTCACCTCTTGCTATTTTTTGGGGGAGTGTTCTCAGAAATTTTTTCCTGTAAGGTGTATGTGATCAAAAAATTTTTGAGACCACTGGTTTAGAGGGAACAAGCCCCTTTTGTGTTCACCAGATCAACTATTACGCATCTCCAATAGACTTTCCCTAATATTCCTAAAAAGATATTTCCAGTTTGTAGTTCAACTGCAAACATACAAAAGACATTGGGGTGAGGGGAAAGGGGGATTAGATCCCTGCTCCCAAAACCCACCACTGGCAAAGAGTCCTGTAACAGCAGCCCTAAACATTTCATAATGCTCTGTTCACCTATAAACATTTATAGATGTTCATGCATCATGGAAGTACAATGAACATCAATCATTAAAAAGCTGAATGAAAACTTGTCAGCTCGGAGCCTAGTCAGACACAAAAATCGCATTCAAGATGTCAAAGGAAAAAATCTACAGTTCTCTTCAATTGGCTGTTAGATAAAACCCCTACTCCCCTACATACATAAAAGACAGCAAATTCCAGAACAATCTGTGGGGGGGGAAAAAAAAAAAAAGAAAAAAAAAGAAAAAAAAAAGACTAATTTACTTTTTTCACAGAATCTGCATCTATTACTTGTAATAGCTGGCAGACTTTCAGGAAACCTGTTTGTAAAGGTGATGGTGCCTCCAAAGACAAGGCAATTATATGCTGTTGATCAAAGTCGCAACTTTTGTGACCAATGAGAAACCACTTGTCTATACGGAGAAGACAAGAATTAATTTGAATAAAAACCCGAAGCACAGTATCTCCTTAAACGAGGACTGCAGAGACCACTAAGTGAGCAGCAAATTCCCATCATGGTTTACAGTTTATAAACATATCAGAACAAGGAGTTCGCTTAACGCACATTTACAGAGAGACTTCTCTGGAAGTTATCAATACATGACACAATCTTACCGTGGCTGTAACTTTATCCCAGTCTGTTACAAAAGCACGGAATCCTTCCCCGAAGAGCATCCCAGCTGTCCTATGGCAAGCAAACAGCAAGGCAAGAGAGAAAGGGATTTCAAAGACTGAATTGGACCAGTTTACAGGACAACTTTATAACAATATTCTTCAGAACCAAAGCTAATTGAGGGCTCACCTGGGAACTGCAACATGAACAAGCATGGCAAATACATTTATAATCATCTGATACCTACACCTGATCTGCGATTAAATCCAAGAAAGCATTTGGCATTAAGGTGATATCAATTTCTTTCTTTAATACATTATTGGCACTGTACTGTAATAAAAGGTATTTAATTCTAAAGCTTTTTTTATTCAGAATCTCGAAGGACCTAAAATTAACAAATTACAAATCCAAATGCCCACCCCTTTGGAGATAGACTGCTTTATTCCTTTACGGCATATGTTTAGAAACTGAAAGAACTGTGAGAGTCTGCAGAGTAATTGCGTCTCAACCTTAGTGAATAAGGCTTGAAGTCATCTGTAGAAAAACTGGATAAAATTCACAACTCTATTTATAGTCTCTTTGGTTCACATTCAGATGACAATATAGCAAGACAAGTGAAAGAGGGGGTTCTCTTTAATATAACTCTTATTGTTCAGAGTACAAGAGTGTACAAACTAACTTTTGATATTCCTCAGAGCTTAAAGGAATAAACAGCAAGGTTTCCTACGAGATGGGAGAAATCTGCAAAAGCAGCGAGGCAACCCATGCCCTTCTCCTGGCTTGCACATACTTGAGGGACTCTAACACTGTCTGGCGATGTTCAGCAGCTTTTAAGCGGATCTGCTCCCGAATGATGTCTGCGTTCTCCCGCTCAGCCTTGGCACGGGCTCTCGCCTCTGCCTCGACGCGCAGCATTTCATTCTTATGCCGCAGCTCCATCTCTCTCTCTACAGTAGCTTTTTAAAAAAAAAATAAAAGGAGAGAAGAGGACAACCTTTTGGGCTGGCTTAATCCCAGGTAGCAGGCAGGTCAAAGAGATGCATTCCTTCATCCTGGCTTCACAACAACTGTGTGCAGTCCCACAGCAGCAGACTTCAAGATCTTAATTCCTTTCCACCCTCCCCCAAAAGGCAGCCAACCAGTACAGTATTACAGAAGACAAGGAATTTTCCCCCTGTGCTTAGAGGGATCACACCAAAAAGGTGGCCTTCTCCAGACGGCACACTGCAAGACAATAATCATGCTTCAGTTCTGGAAGTTCATTACCAGAAAAACTGCTCAAGGCAAACCTTAGTCAGAGATGACCTAGGCAGTAAGGGATAAATCAACAGGGAGGGAAAAACCACAGTGCTAGGCCCTGCTGCTCTTCATCAACACCATTTCAGAGAGGAAGGGTGACACACTACAGAATGAAGGACAACCCTGGGCATGTAACTACACACAGTGTAACATACACTGCTTGTAAGGAACAGAAGCAAAACAGAGTTGCCAGTAAAATGCTGCCCCAAACAGGGTTTTGGAAACTGTTACTTCAGACACACAGAATTGTGACAGACACATTCAGATTGATGTGAATGGAGAATGAATGAGAAACCCAAGAACAACCCAGGAGATGAGATAAGGATTCCGTAGCCAGCACCCTCTGTCTTCAGCATCACTGCAAGAAATTCTGACCGGGCCACCCAGCTACTTGATACCCAAATGCTGGGTAGGCTACCTTGACACCTCGGTGCCTACGAGTAGGCGGATACTACAAGAGTAAAATCACTCTCTCCTACAGGGTTTCACCACTGAGCTTTGTTACATGGTTGTTACAATGCTTCCCTCAATGATACCAACAAACACCAAGAGTACACTAAGTGGCAGATGGCAGCAAGGAGCGGACAACATAGCAGTCCACATCTGTGTACGGAGCAAACCAGCCTTCTGCTCGCATTTGGTCATACACAAATTGCCTTGCATTTTTAAGACTTGTGCAACTTGGAGTTCTGCAATCCCACACAACAAGAACGACCAAAGCAAGTTTCAGACTAAAACTTCATTATTCAGCTTTTATTTTCTACAGGAAACAGTGAACAGAGACTAGATGACACAGATTCAGCTGCTCCTCCCAGGAGCTATTTTGTTTCTCTTTCCTCCTCATAACCGGTTCTACTTTAGATTGTCTCAGTGTAAAAATCAGAATTTCAGTTGCACATCAGGAGACGCTGACAGTTCATTGGGAAATCCAAGTACCACAGGGCAGATGTTTAGGTGCGCAGCCACTTCTAAAACTCATCTTGGAAGCAATTGGTAGTTCTAGTACTACTGGGATTTATCCGTTACTTGCCAACAGTAACGTTAATACGTTAATATGAGATTAACACATGACCCTAACGGAGCATCAAGCAATGTGGACAAGGAGTCAAAGATCAGTACAGAGAATTCATATGCCCACCCACTCTGTCAGTAAAGAAAAATTACTGCCTTACCACGCCTCATGGCTTCCTGCTTCTGCACAGATTCTTCCTGCTTCCTCAGATTCTCTTCATTAACAAGTTGCTAGAGGTAGAGATGACAGCAGAAGATGCGTTAGAACTCAGTCAAGTAGGTATTTGTGTAAGCTTAAGTACTACAAATGTTTTCATGAAGCTAGTGCTCAGGTTGAAGTGCACTCCTCATCTCACAGATTCATACTCTTAATCCCACACTCCTAGCTGCTTTGTCCTAATTCCTGACCTTTGATTTGCCTGGCACTGTTGATGCCCAGCAAATAGTACAGTTGAAAGCAACTGTGCCTAGCATCAGCCATCTGCCCAGCACAACAGGGCACAGTTCCAGATCACCACTTTGACTTAAGAAAGCTGCTACATGGTTCCCAGCTGGGTTAGAGGAGGAAGCCGTCATACCTGCTGTCGCATCTGTTCATCATAGCGCTGCCTTGCCAATTTGTCCTGGTATTGGGCTCGCTTCAAAAAAAAGAAAAAAGAAAAAAAAAAGATCAAAAGATCATTCAGAATATAAAGATTAGGTATGTAAGAGAGAACCTAGTCCTGAGGGCAGTGAGGTTTGGAGTATGCAGGGGAAAAAAACAAAAACAAACAAAAAAACCTCCACAAAACCCAAAAATAATCCTGGGTTTGAATATGAACAGGGCAAAGCTTGGGGCAAAACATCCTCAGCCAGCACCTAAAACTTGTCTATGCTGAGAAACCTTTACAGTCTGACTTCATTTTAAGGTATCACAGATATAAAGAAAAAAGAACAAGTGTTCCTTGGCCCAGAAAAGGAGACTTAATTTACTAGGAAAAACATGGTTTTCATGTTCTAAAACACATTACCTGGACTGGCGATTGCAAGCAATAGAACTGTCAAGATATGCTGCCTGTCAGATGAGCTCTGTTTCTGATGGATTTTCTTGTTCCTCATTAATTTCTCTCATCGATTTTCCACTGCAACTGGCAAATAAACCCATGTCACCTACACTCAGCTAAAAGTGGTCTGAGGGCCCATACCCATCAGCAAGGAGGACTCTGTGCAAGGGATGGTATTATTCCCTATTCCAAACACACAGATAGCAGAACAGCTTGCAAGTTATCTCCCCAGAAACTGTAACGCATGGCACTTCAGGAGTAAATCATTATCAAGTTTGCTTTCACTTCAAATGATGCCCTGTGAACTGCAAGAGTTCAAGAGCTAACTTAACAGAAGCCGGCTTCCTGACCCAGCCCCGTTCAAAGTCCAAACTCTGATGGGATAAAAAGCAACATGTGCCAGATAAGCAGTTTTAGCTGTCTTCCCACACTAGCTAAATCAATTGGAATTAATCAATCCCCTTGTTTCCTGTACGCTCAACGTAAAAAGTGACCATATGTGAGCTATTAGCATAAAAGCAAGCTTACATTTCCCTAATTTCAGTATTATTGCCACTTCAGTAACTCATGCCAAAACGTACCACAGCCTCTAGTAACTCTCAAATTTGCATCATTTCTCTTAAAGTATTTTTTTCCACCTAAAAGATCAAACTTGGAAGAAATAGGGTTGCAGGCTCCTTAAGACTGAAATCCAAGTAACTTAAGAGATACTTCATTGTCCGGGCTAACATATACTCGATAAGCCAGTAGTCTTCAACCTTTTAATGCCATCAGCTGCTAGACACAAACAGGTGTACCTCAGAATGCCCAACAGAACTTCCCTGGAAGCTCCTTTAGGAAAATTTCAAAGAGCACACAATAAAAGTACTTGCTACTACCGGTTCCTTTGTACGTTCAATAATTTGGTGAGTTCAAGACGACAAAGCTGCATATAATTACACATCAAGTTCAACTCTACAAAGCCAGGGTAGCAGATGGGCAGTTGCCTCCCTCCTATGGCTGCCTGCAATTCTCTTTCCCGCGCCCCCCAAAAGGGGCAATTAACGCATTGTTGCCTTTTCCATAAAGGGGGACACAAACAAGGTCTCCCATCACTTGGCATTCCCCTCATTCCCTTACTGCTTGATGCTGTTTTGTTTCTTCACTGAGTGTTTTTCGTCTCTCTTCTGCTTGTACCCGTATCTGCTCATTCTTCAGTTGTTCTATGGCAGCTTCATACTCCTATTAAAATAAAGAGGTAATCATCACAAATGAGCTCAATACGTCATCCGATAGAGAAATGATAGTGACAATTATATTCCAAGAAATCCATCTGTAATCAGAGCCTGCAAAGCTGACCAATGACTCAAGAAAGCTAAAATACGATCATATGAAACCTCATAATTATCCATTTCAGGATTAAATAAAATACAATTTATTTAAAAAAAAAACAAGTCTCAAACAATCCCCAAATTCCTGTATCAAAGAAACAGAAGTCTGTTCTCTACCCAACTGCTTTACAGTTCCCTGCAGAAAACCTTTGTCATTTCCTAAAAATGGTGGTGATACCTTAGGAGTTACCAAACCACTCAGGACACGCAAGTTGTAAACAAAGCCATAAAAGATGCCCAAGAACAGGCCAAATCAGCTTGCACTTCACCTTTCAGATTTACTTTTTTTTTTTTTTAAAAGCAATAACTATTATTTGCTGAAGCTAAACAGCAATAAATAAAACTCAGCACCCTCTGCAAATTGCAAAAAAGTGAGACTTTGACTTAATGCTCCCCACAAACCCAGCAGTTGCCTGAAGAGGAATGGCTGTACAACAGACGAACGGTTCCAACTTACCTTAAGTTTTGTTTGCTGTTCCAGCTGCAAGGTCTGCTCTTGCATCTGGGCGAGACTAAGAGCATCTTTCGCATGGCCTGAAACCGACAGCGGGAAGAGGTTACGGAGAGCACAGAGATCTTTTCTCAGGGCAGAAAACATTCGGTCTATTCAACCCAACCCGGTGCTGGCTGAGCCTGCCTGTCACAC